TTAATTTTATTTTTAAGGCAAAACAACTTTCGATAACACTCTTCATTTAATATTATATTTATAAAAAAATATTAAAGATATCATTAACAAAATCTTATTTTTGTCCAAAACGTTGGAATTTTGTTGGATGATATAATTTGAGTCTTGTTTAAAAATACTGTCCATAAAAATTATTCTCCTACAAAGGTTGAACGTGAAAACTCCTTTAGATTAAACGAACTTTCCCTCAAGCAAGGCATAGGATAACAAAAATACATGCATAGGAAAGAGCTCAGGAGATGGAAGAAGGATGCTTGAAAGTTCAGGTGCAGTGTACCCCGAACACTCCCTAAGTATATGCTTTATATAGGCCATAGATGCACGTGAATTTTAGGCACCACTTAACACCATTAAAACTTTCAGAGTTTTTAAATATCAGAACAATGAATTTGGATGCACCATTAAACACCTCGAAGTGAATCTGGATAAGAAATCCATCAATAGACATTGTAAATTTCAAAAGATTAGAGTTTTAAACAAAACATCATTAATTACTATAAAATTCTTAAGTTACTATAAAATTCTTAAGGTTTGAACATTGAATTTAGTAACTTGAAATGTTTTTTTTTAATTTTGCAAAATATTTTTAATAAAAGAGTCCAACATTACATCTTGCAAGTTGGTCCACAAAAAACATTACATTTTACACACACACTCTTCATCTTGATTCATCTGACTTGTCTAAATTCGCATCTTAGTCTACATACACTAAGGCTACCTCATCTAAGTTGTAACATCTAAGAAAATTATTAGTTAACCTAACAAGTATAATTAATGAGTTAATGAGGTGTGTAGCCAGAAGAGGCTTAATTAATGTAACTTATTGTAATTATAACCCTAAAAGTAGGTTCGGATCAATGGCAGGCCACTCAGGCATGGAAAGAGGAAGAAAAAGTGAAGGAATACCTTATGTGCCACATGTCGCGGCGCGTGATCAATTTGCTGCAGCATATAAAGGAAAATTCAAAGGCAACAGGCCTTTCTGTGCCATGTGCCACTGCGAATGGTAGCGTGCGCTACAATGCATGGCCAAAAATTTGATAAATCAGTTTATATTCTATGTGAGAAAGTAGAGAAGAGAAAGGAGAAGACATGAACAGCATGACTAATGCTCTACTAGGGCACGTTGAATCACATTGATGATAATTTGCAGCTCCCAAACACCTAAGGTAAGTAAACTATACTCTTATCTTCATTTATCTCCTTCATTTATAGAGATTTAAGTTAGGGTTTGAATTGAAAAGTTGATTTTCAGTGCATAAGAGTTATCAGTTTGATTAGATAAAATAGATATAATGGGAATTGTTTGTGATAGATAAACCCTACCTTGATGATTTCATCAAAAGTTTGTTGGGTAGAGCTATTAATATTCAAAAATCAACATAAATGAGATAGTTGAGAGAGCTTGATATCTATTAATGGTGGTTTAAAGATCTATTAATAATAATGTGCATTAATGGAACCTAATAAACCCATTGGGTGTGAATAAGTAGCAAATTTATGGATTATAAGAATGGAATGCGTGGAGATTAATGTTGAAAAACTCACAAAATAGGATAATGATGATATCCTTGTATTGTGTTTGTAGTATGAATCATTATAGCACCATTCAAGCTTGTGTGAAGCTCTGAAAGTGTTTGTGTGAGGGGTAAACTTTTGACCTCTCAAAGGTTTGACATAACCGAGAAAAACTTAACTTTATATAGTTAAATATTAATTAGTTATTGATTAAAAATGGATTGATTTGAGATATGATTTTTATTTTGAACCCTTAATGCAAGTTTGGCATATTTGATGATGTGACATTGTGAAAATATTATGTGTGTTCATATACATATGAATAATGATGGTGATTGAGAATATGTGAGCATATGTTTATAGAAATATAGTATATAATGGTGAAAAAATAATTTTATATGCTTGATGTAATGAGATGATTGTATAAATGACATTAATTATCATAATTGCATGGTGTGTCAAATATGCATTGCATGATCATTGCCGGGAGTTCGCCTAGAAAGAGGAGTAGATAGTTAAATCCACATGGTACGAGTAGTGATTGTTAGAATTAGGAGGTAGCCCTCATCTCATGGTTGATTCGAGACTGTTTCACTTGCGCTATGAGGGACTTGAACCTAACTAGCTTCCATCGATTCATGAGGAGGCTAGATTAAGGTATGACACCCCATGGTTATTAGTATTAGGAGAAATCAGATTATATAAATGAATGAGTTAACCTTGGCCGGGCAGCTCCTTATAACTGAAAGACTGTATTAGTTCATGAAGGACGTAACTACATGATAGCCACCAGTTTCATATCGGAGGTAACAAGAAGGTATAAGATTAATATCCGATCATGCATATAAATCAGGTCACATGATTATCAATATTGTGGTCTGGCATGTGTTAGGGGCATATGGTTGGTAGTATTGCGACTCCGTATTGTGCATTGTGATTTAAAATGGATATATGTATGTTTGAGCTCGGTCACATAGTTGTTAGTATTGTAAACTGCAGCCAAGTTTATCACATATGTTGTGATGGTGTGTTTTTACCTATTTGCATATATTTACAATTGATATGCAACTATATAGATTAGGTGAAACTTAATTATTGAGTGGTTGTACTCACCCCTCAATTCTTAACATTTTCAGGACATAGTTCACTAGATTCGAGTTAAGAAAAAACATACTGAGACTTAGGATTTTTAGAGTAATCCTTTTTATATGCCTCGCTTTATCATTTTATGTGTATTAATGTTGCATAATTGCCAACTAGATCACATGTCATTATTTTGTACTGCTTACATTACTATAGTGTACAACTTGTGTATTTTGTATCTTAAGTTAGTGAGTTTTAGTTGTAAACTAATGGTATGGCTAAAAAACTTGTGCAACTAAAAACATATGTATTTTAAATGATTTGAAATGAAAATGATGGTTTTGTACATGAGTTTTCTCTCCCTTATGCCTTTGTAAAACTTAAGGTTGAGTGGTGATTTTAAGAAATATGTATTTTTGGTTGTATTTGATGTGTTGCATAGGTCTACTAGAGTTCATTGAGTGTAGTCGGAGAGTTGGTATAAGCTTTTGGCACTTCTGGTTAAGTTGGGACACCAAAGTTGTGTGTTTTATGTAAAAAGTGATAAAAATGGTTTTTGATATTCAAATTTTTGTAGAAAATAAATTTGAATGTGAAACCTATGTTATTAGCTAGAGCTAGGAAAAAGCTCCGTATAAACACTGAAACCACCTCAATCGGATGTCGAATGAAGATTTGGGATGCGTTGAAATTTCACTTCCACTGTTATCAAATGACAGCGATCAAGTTCATGCAATTTGCTGTGGTGCATGGCACAGAGGTGAGTGAGCCACAGTGCATGTGTCTTAAATTACGACGCATGAGTTGTTTTCTACACAAAAATATTGTTTTGAATTTTAAAATTCATTGTTTTGGGCTCCTTTTAATGTCCAAGTTTCTGCATTACTTTCAAACTTTGATTTAAACATTCTAAGTGTATGTAAGATATTAAAAAAAATTTGAACTTTGGGATCCCATTGTAAATGATTTGAGAATTCTTCTCTTTTATATAATTTTACAACCTTGGTAATCTTTTAAGGGTTAATCCCTTAATTGCCATCTTTATGGAGATAAATACAGTTAAGTAAGGAAGACCTTACATAAGTAATATGAGCCTTCTTTCAACACACATAAATTTACAATAAAAAATATTTTATATTTTAAAATATCAAATTTTTTTAAAAAATATCTTATAAATTACTCCTTCCATTAAAAAATATGAGATATTTTTTGAGGAATTAGATATTTATAAATATAGGACATTTTTAATCTTTTGATGTGTAATCATTGTCTTTTTTTAAAAGTATCCCTATTAATAAATAACTTTATATTTATTGTACGGTTTTGATAGAGGTAAATATAAAAATATAAATTTAATTTAAAAATAAGTAATTATTTTATTAAGAGGTGAGATTTAATTAAAAATATTTTATAGTTTTAAATGGAGGGAGTGATAAAGAGATGAGAGAAAGGAAAAGCAATTCCTTAACAAAATCTGTGTTGAGTACTATTCCTCTTTATTGTATGCAAACTGCTCATCTACCTGTGAGTACTTGTGAGGAGATTGATAAATGTTCTCGAGGTTTTCTCTGGGGCTCAACAAGGGAAAGGAAAAAGATTCATCTTGTAGCGTGGGATGAAGTGTGTAAACCAAAAATAAATGGTAGACTAGGTTTATGACATGCACATCTTCAGAATAAAGCCTTTATGATGAAAGCAAGATAGGGCCTTATACATAACAAGGAGGCTTTATGGGCTAGAGTTATTAGAAGTAAATATAACTGTGGAAGGGAGCTAATTCCACAAGTGAATAAGGACTCTCCCGGATCTCAGTTCTGGAGAGGTTTGAGAAATAATTGGGAGAAAGTTGAAGCAAAGTTAGAACTTATAACCAACCAAGCGAATGAGAAAGTTGTTAGATGGAAACCTGAGAAGCATGGTATTTTTACAGTTCGTTCTGCTTATGATTCATTGATAGATAGTTATGATTGCCCTGATCAGATGTGGGCCAAGATTTGGAAGCTTCGAGTGCCTCAGCGGTGTAGATCCTTCCTTTGGCTCATGAGTCATGATCGTATCCTTACTAATAAATCTCGCTTTGACCGTCATTTGGATATTCAACAGTGGTGTAGTTGTTGGCCTGAGGAGTTTGAAGACACTCTACATGTGATGAGACAGTGCCCTAAAGCTAAGGAAGTGTGGATGAAATTATTACGCCCTTCTCAAAGATGAGCTTTCTTTACCACAGACTTACGTGAATGGTGCAAGATAAATCTCAAGATTTAGATAACAGTTAATAATTTCAATTTATTTGCTGTTTTGTGTTGGGCAATATGGAAACGTAGGAATGAGAGAGTTTTTGAGGGAAGAAGATCGACTACATGAGTGTCATCGCACAAGCTACTGTTATCCTTAACTGCATGAACGTGGCTAACTGTCGTTTACAAAATACATCTATTGCTGGCATTCGTCCTAATAATCAGGTGGATATGACTATCTTAGCTACTGATGAGCTCTTTGTTTATGTTGATGGGGCTTTTGCAGCTGCTACTAATTCTAAGTGTTGTGGAGGTCTAGTTAAGAATACCAAAGGGAATATCATTGAAGCTTTCATGCTTCATTTAGAGAAGGGGGATAATCTGACGGTAGAATTATGGGCTTGTTATATGGGTCTAAAGCGTGCTTGGGATTTCAAAACCAAGCATGTAAGAATCCATAGTGATTGTCATGAAGCACTGTCTCTGTTAAGAGCCAATAATTACGACCTTCATGAAGACCGAGAGCTTATTGCTGAAATTCAACAAATACTTCAAAGAGACTGGCAGGTTGATATGAGATGCATTGGAAGGGAGTTCAACTTCAGAAGCTGATTTCTCAGCGAAACGTGCCTTATCTCTCCTCATGGGTCTTCACGTAGTGGCTGGTGACTCTATTCCTTCATTCATGGAGGAGTTTTAGTTTTTATTTGTTGTTTGTTTTGATTGTTTCTTATTTATCAAAAAAAAAAAAGAAAAGAAAGGAAAAGCAATTCCTTCAAGCCAAATATATAACGACACCGTTTGTAGGCGTCACAAGCTTCTTGCGAAAATTCCGTTAATTCGAATAAAAAAACAGTTGGATTTCTGATTATCATATAAAGGACATGACGACGTGATTCGGATCGCCTCAAGTGGATTTTGTGCAGCTGTGAAGAACATTGACGTTCATCGCCTTCGAGGTTTCAATTTTACACACTGTTGTTCCCAACCATCAGATAGATCTGATGGTTATTATGAAAGCACTTCCCAGGCACTGTACAGAATCCACGGGAGGTGGTCTAAATCCGGTGGCAATTGCACTTTGTTTTCGTGACTGCTGACAAACCCAATCAGATCCAGAATGAACGAAAATTCCCTCATTAAATATACTTTTTAATTTTAAAAAAATACTTCTCATTTAATATTTTATTTATAAAAAATTAAAAATAAAAGAATATAATAGTTAAAAAAATAAAATTAAAAATATTAATAAAAATTTAAAGTGTTTTATATTTTGATATGTTAAATTTATAAAAAATATCTTGTAAATGAAGTTAAGATAGTATTTCCTCAATTTTAATTTATAAAATAAATTTGGGTATAACATAATCTTTGATGATTAAAGAGAGTGAATAACAAGAGGAATGGCACAATTAAGAAAAAAAGTACATTTTTATTAAGTTATTTTATATTTTAAAATACTAAATTAACTTTAAACTTCAAAATTGTGTTGGTAGTATAAAATTTGGACTATCTCATCAAAATCTGGAGAGTAGAGAGTACGATTCAGGACCGGCGCAGAGGAGCGAGAAGTCATTCCAAGGATAAATTAAAGAACCTCATAGTGCGTTGTTGCAGAGAGGTTGGGCGGGAGGAAAGAAAGTGAAAGAAAAAGAAATGTCCAGACCAAAGTGCATGCATGAAGAAACCCATAACCTGATCAAGCTCTATATCACCGTCTTCCTCTCTCTATCATACTGTTTCTTCATTGCTTCCAGAATTCCCAAAGGCAAGCTCAGGTTCCTCTCTCTTTCCCCAGTCTTCTTCGTCTTCACCCTCCTCCCCCTGAAACTTTCCTCTGTTATCCTCACAGGCCTCATCGCATTGTTCATCACATGGCTCTCCACCCTCAAACTCGTCCTTTTCGCCTTCGATTCAGGCCCTCTCTCTTCACCCCCTGCAAGATCCCTCCCGATTTTCATCCTAATTTCTTGCCTCCCAATCAAGACCGGCCAAAACCCTAAGAAAACCCCAAAATTGCCTCTCAATCTCCCCATCAAGACCCTTCTCTTCCTTCTCCTTTTGCCAACTGTCAACCATAAACAGAATCTCCACCCGAAACTCCTTCTCGCTATCTACTGCTGCTTGTTGTATCTTCTAGTCGACGTCGTTTCGGGAATCTGCAATTCCGTTACTAAAGCCGTTGTCGGAATGGAGTTGGAAATGCCGTCCGATGAGCCGTATCTCTCCACATCTTTGCAAGACTTCTGGGGAAGACGGTGGAATCTCATGGTGACAAACGTTCTGCGAGATGCCGTGTACGAGCCGGCGAGCTCCATTTGTGGGCCTATATTGGGCCCCCAACGGGCCACGATGCTCGGGATCGTTGCGGCTTTTGTGGTCTCTGGGTTGATGCACGAGCTGATATTTTACTATGTCACGCGTGAGGCTCCCACGTGGGAGGTCACGAGGTTCTTCGCGCTGCACGGACTATGTGTGGTTGGGGAGTTTGGTGTCAAGAAGTTGCTAGGCCAGCCCAATTGGGGGGTTTGTTCGGCCGTGTATGGGCCCTTGACAGTAGCGTTTGTGATCGGCACGGCCCACTGGCTGTTCTTTTCTCCGTTGGTGAGAAACGGGGCGGATGAGAGAGCAGCAAAGGAATTCATGAATCTTCTGGAATGTATGATGGGAAAAGTAGGCTTAACCCAATTACATGGTTAAAAAAGTTAATTCGATTTTTTTTATGGAGCTCCCCGTCCCAAAAACAAAGTATTATAGAAATTCAATTCATCGATTTCGTGCGTATTATAATTAGTAGGGTTTTCCCGAAGTTAAACTTCAAAAAATTCTTATTTTAGCTATCTTGTGTTACTATGCTACTCCATTTGTTTTTTATTATTAAAGCAACTACCACTTTTGATTTATATTTTTTTATAAGTAAAATAACCCATTCTAATAAATATTTATTATACATTTTCTAAATAATCTTTCATAATTTATAATAATGAAAAACAATGAATGTAAAGTTATGTAGATTAACACAAGTTATTTTAATCCACTTTTTTTATTTTCAAACATAATTATTATAATTAACTAACTTTTGTATATAACATATATATATATATATATTAGAGGGGTATTATATATATATATATATATATATATAGAGGGGGTATTACTATATGCCAAACTTCCATCCCCTATTTATCTTCCATGATATCATTTTATATGTGTTCACCTTGTCCAACCCTAATTAATTATTATTATTAGTGTGTGTGTCTGTGTGTAAATTAAATGATTACTACTATTTATAAACTGTTCACCTTATATTTGTGTATCTAATTCTTAATTGAAAAAAGCATGGTATTTAAACCCGGACCGGCCGGTCAGACCGGTAAACTGGTGAACCGGTCTCTTGGTCGGTCCGGTTGAGAAAGTAAATCAGAAGCACAGTAATCCGGTGTAATTCGGTTAACTCGGGATTAACTCGGAAAAAACCGGCCAACCCGCTGGGTTAATCGGGTCACCAGGTTGCATGAAACAAAATTAAAATGAAAAAAACCAGCCATCAGAAGAAAGAGACGAAGAATATGGATGAATAGAAGATAAGGGATGAAGAAGAAGGAAGGAAAAAAAAGAAAAAAAAGATGAGAAGATTCAGGGAAAAAAATGATGAAGAAAGAAATAGTAAAGAAATTGTATACCAAAGCCATTCAACCTCTCCCATCTGCGATTTCCGCTGCAATATATTTTTAAGGAGGATGAAAGTTTCACAGCGCACACAGACGACGGAGGAAAAAGATGGGGAGAAGAGAAGTTTCAGGCTTCATTTAATTTTTTTTTTTAAAAGTGCCTGCACCATTTGCATTGATGTAATGATTGAACAGAACCAAGCCTACACTATTTACTGACTCCTAATCCCATTGCGTCACACTTCCTCCACTTTTCTTGGGACTTAGTGCTTTTAAAATTTTAATATCAATAATTATTAATTTAATTACGTAAAATAAAAAACATTTAAAATATTATTATTATTATCCCTATTTTTGAATATAACTTGGTGACCGCAACTTTTTCTACCATTTGATATATATATATATATATATATATATATATATATACTTAAATATTTAATCTTTATATTTTTTATTTATTATAATTTTTTAAATGATGTTAAGTAAAATATAAAAATTACTTTTAAATTCTGGTTATACATTTTATACATTTCATCTTATAAAATGTTTTATTTTTAAAAAATAGTATTTTTAATTTATATAATATTTTGATGATTGATATCTTTTTTATTTAAATATTTTTAATAGTCAAATAAAAATATTTTTGTATAATTTAATTAAATTTTATTATTTTAATTATGACCGGTTTGACTCCGATCTGACCTTCGATTGAGCCACTAACCCATGAACCACTACTTCAACCGGTTCAATGACCGATCTGGTTTTTAATACTTGAAAAAAGTTTACCTGCCAAGACACAGCAATCTTGCTAGTTTCATGCATGAAACTAGACCTGTATTCAATTCCATAAGTAATCCCAATTTCTTAAATAAAATTATAACCCTTCAAAAGACGTGAACTTGTTAAGCCGTCAAAGATTTGTTCCCTCGTAGCATTCAAAGACAACATAACATGATAACAACTGGAAAACCGTGTCCGTATCTACAAAAATTTATTTTGTGGCAGCAGATTATATCCACATGACATTTTTATTTCTCGAGTTTCACTACCATTACCAAAGTTCGGGAAATGGTGTGCATAACAATATAAAACTCTCCTTTTCATAGCTTCTTTTATCTAAACTTTGACATTTTTTATTCTTGAAGGAGATATTCTTCCATCAACTTATTAAACAAAAATACATACCTCAGCAACTTTGTCTACAGAATTCTCAAAATGAATAAGGATCAATTACAACAATTTTAGGAGAGGAACTAATATGATGCAATAATGCATATTGAAACTCCACCGTCCAGCAAGAAATACACATGAACCCAATCTTGGAAGATACTCATAATTCACAATAACGAGAACATGTTCTCTCCAGCAGCCCTTCTGTGAACCACATTTTCTAATTTATGAAAAAAAATACCTTTCATGTATAAATTTATTCGCCCTCGCTCAGCACCGGTACTATGAGTGGTTTCATCTGTGCCAGATATACAATCGCCCACCTAATAGCACAAAGGAAAGACCCATGTGAGAACGGTAAAAAGCCAAAAAACCAAAAAAAGGGAACATGACCATTCAAAGCTTAGAATTACTGTTATCAAATGATAAAGTTATCAAAAGCAAAATAACTGAAGTTCATTAATTCAACAACAAGAAGCTTAAATCCCACTAGGCACACAATAGATATTTGGATATTAGCTCTCAGAATGATATAGATGACCTCCGTTTATAAAAACAGAAAACTAGGGCATTGAGTATTCAAATTATACAAACATTTGTTCATTTCTATCATATGATATATAATGTTGTACAGCATTCTTTTTTCCACTGTCATGTCTCCATCCAATCTCGTTCTAAGCTACTTGTGGGTTTTGGCCGACATGCACAATGATGACAGTAACACAAATCAATAGGTAAATTACTATTTAGTTTTTTTCTTGTAAAATCATATAGTTAGAATGCAGCTTTTGCATGACAAGAGGTAGTTATAAGAAGTGACAGTCTTCAGAGCTGATTGAATCACAGCCTACTCACAACAGTAACATCGCCGGAAGTATATTAGAATACTTTAAGCATACCCATAAGCACAGACCGGGTATATAAGCCATACATGTTCCAATTCCTATTCTGACCCGCACAAACCAAAAGAAGAACACTAATCAAACATGCACTTACATCATCCAGCAACATACTGTTGCAGTGATAACCAATGTAAGGTGAAACCTGTGGTAGAGAGATAAGAGTTAAGTAACATATAAATGAGAATAATATATAACTGCACGTACAAAAACAACGGATATCCGGAGAACAGGCATAACAAATATTTAAAAAAAAAAAAACCTTTTCTTTAAGAATAAAATAAATAATCCACAAAACCCACTTTAATTAATTAAAAAAAAAAGTGACGCATTACAAATGCAGCAAGAAATTGGGATGAACAATCAATAAAAATTTCAAGTGCTGCTCAATATTTGGCACCATAGTAAGGGCGTTCAGTAATATTTAAATCTGTAAAGGACACTCACATGAAGGGTCTCAGCCCTCAATGGCACAAAAAATGAAAAAGGGTTAAAGACAGAAGCATGGCAGCACCAGTTCTATATAGTTCTAGCGGCTAAAGATTTTAAGTAAATTAGAATTTCCTAAACTTTAGACAATTTATCTTCTCCAGGTTTAGTAATAATGTCTGCCAAAGTTAATTTATTTTCCTTCTCTGAAGGATGGGCATCAAACTAGTTTAACTATTAGGTAGCCTTCAATGAGCTCTATGATAATAGCTGTGTTCACAATGGTAGATAAACCATGACGAGTTATTATTGTCCAGCTTGATCTGCCTTAGTAATGAAAACGCAATTTTCCGTCATTCACTCAAAAGGCACGTACAGTTAAGATGCCAATAACAGAACCGACTTACATCTTTCCCCACCATATACAGGCCCCAAAATTTGTCAAAAATTAACCCCAAGAGAATCGAAGAACTTTAAAATAAAACAACGAAAGACAAATTACTATAAAATACTATTACATCAGGAAACCATAACCAGTTTCCAGTTATGCAATCACTTCTCTGATAGCAAAAACCGTAAATAAAGGAAGGCCGCCCGTCAAATACTCCATACATAAGTATAGAACCCTGAATCAACAAATGCAGTAGCTCAAGCGCGCTAGGGATCGAAACATCATCAAATACGTGAGCAGAAATCAAATTAAAGAAAATCCGAAGAACAGTTGAGATATATGCGAATTTCAGAACGAAGAAGAAAAGCATACAAATTAGTAGAAGGTCCTCTATTGCAGCAAATTCTAGTACAAAGGGCCGCGATTATTCCAATCACAACGAAAATTAACGTTGTTACCAAGAAACCCATGCCGATTATACCAGATCCTGATCAGGATATGAATTCCTGCAACAACGGTCAAAGAAAACGAACTAATTTTACATTCCAGTGCAAGTAGAAACCGAAAAGGTAAAACGTAAACATAACTTTAAGACCGCTTACTATTGAGATGAATCACACAACACCGACCCTCCAATGGGTGTTTGGGTGCCGAGAAAGTGCAGGAAAAGAAAAGTGGAAACACGGACACAAGGATCTTACCCGGAGATCCGAAGCTAGTCGTCGTTTAGATCTCACGGTGCTGTCGCTTGATCTCCACCCGCACGGCATATAGATCGCCTGATGATTGAATATTAACTAGCATGGGCTCTGAACCCACTCGGCTCAAAATGGGCCTCTTTCTATTTGGATATATGCTGGATCTCATTATCAAAATTATCCAGAAAAAATTACAATTAGATGTCCTATAAAAAATTTAATTACTTTAAAATTTATTGATAACTGAATTAGACTGTATTAATAATGTTTGTCAATATAATTTAATTTAATTATCAATAAACCTTACAGTAAGTAATTTGTTTGTATGAGATTTCAATATAATTCTCCTAGTTATCAATTCTAAATTCAACTTTAGTAGAAAATTTTTTGAATCCAATTCCATTATTATGGTTTGCAACCAAAAAAAGAAACAATCTAATTCCATTGAATATTGAGTAAGCTCAAAAATATCTACATTTATACTTATAACTACCAACAAGTCCTTTAAAAAATGGTCTGAAGTGATATTATATATGTGCAAAAGCTCTAAGAAGGAGCTCACTTTTTAGAAACGGTTTGCATTTTTTTTTTAGCTTTGTTATATTATGTTTAGAATTGTCTGATTTTCTGCAAATTACTGCAGTGTTCAACTCTAATTTTTAACTCAACCTTGATCTAAACCTGACCCAACCATGAAAATAATTTTTTTTTGTCCAAATCGAGCTTTTAACGGCTCTCATCCATGATCCAACTGATTTAACTGTCTTATAACAAACAATGATTGAGATTAATTAGTCATTTTTGCCATTTGAATTTTAGACTTAATGGTAAGGGTATAGTTTCACCAATCAAGTCGCACCAATCTTTTGTTGGGACTGAGTTTTGATGATAAGTTTCTTGATGAGCATTATCTGAATCATCTAGATTAAAATACAAACAATCCAAATTTAAAAAATTATTTTTTATTTATTTTTCATAAAATGAAAATTATAAAATTTTAGATAAATTTATTTTATCATCAATCCAAACAATATTGACTTAACATGGATGGTCCAACTTTATATTAAAAATTTTAAAATTTTTATAAATTAAATATCTAGATGTATTCTACACAATTTAGATTTAAAATCCTAACTCACAACTTTTTCCTAAAAAACTATTTTTTCAAAAATGTCAAGTTAAAAATTACCTTTCTTTTTAATATTAGATTCAACAAAATAAAAATTTTTAAAAATTAAAAAAATTAATATTCACTGTGATGCTCATCACAGTGCTTAGCATCAAAACCGGTGCCCAGCAAAAAAAGTGATCATGGCTTGATTGGTGCAATTATAAAATTTTTAAAACTTTTAATATTAAATTAGATCATTTGTGTTATATACATATTGTACAGGTTAATAACAAAATATATTTATTAAATTTTTTATAAGTTTTATTTTAATAAAAATAAAATAAAAATAATTCTTTAAAATCTGGACAATTCATATCTAAGCACCAAAACTAGTTCCCTTCTCTTAAACCCGAAAAAACAAAATAGTTATTTTAAAAATATTGTATGTAAAAATTTGATTCACATATTTAAAAGTTTAAAATAAAATCAAAAATGTATAATTATTTTTTGAAAACCAAATGTAGTATAAGTTTCACTCATTTTGATGACATGTTAAAAAAAAATGTGCAGCATAGTTAAAAAATTCAAATAGACTAAACCAAACGTTAAAAGCTTGATAAATAATGTGTTAAAAAGTAGTTTAATCCTTTAACTTTTTAGAAAGTTTTATTTTAATTCTTTAATTTTATAAATTATCTTTTCAATCATTCAACATAACATCATTGGTATCATCAATAAAAATTTCTTACATTAAATGAAAATTAAGGATCATTTTTACTTTTTAACTTTACCTAAAAGCTCACCAAACACTATAAACTCAATTGTGAATCAATTTTGTCCCTCAATTTTACAAATTTGTTGCCTCCATTCCTTGATGTTAATTTGTCTCGTTCTACTATGACAAGGGTCCCACATTTAAATTCTATCATTAAACATTGTGCAGTGGGTCTTATTATTTTTTTATTTTTTTATTAAAAAGTACTATCTCGATGTTAACTTGTCCTATTCTTCCTCCTTTCTTATAGCTTCTCAACAGTGCTTTGCCGTCTCCATTGTTAATGGAGCAAGATAGGCCGTCTTCTATTAGAAGTTGCAAATGCTGGCTGTTCCGTTAGGGTTGAGCCCATCTAGCTTCCATTGTTAAACAAGTTCAGACAATGCCACCAAGCTCATTATCAAACCTAGATTTTGGTACACTATCTTCATCAATAAAGGAATGTCTTGAAAATGGATTCAACTAGAGCAAGTATGGTTAGAAACAGGTGAAAGCAGGTAAGTTCCCTTAAAAGCAATTACAAGTGCATGCATATAAATTGCCCCGTCAAGAAGAGGGCTGAGAGATCCATTGACGATGACCACATTGTCACTATCATTTACAAGAGGACAGCATAATCATCAAACTCTTTGACCTGTGAGTAGCAACAAGCACGTAAAATACACAACATTAACAGCAAATTTGAATTATGTTGAGATTTTTAATGTGTGAGGAACAACCTAAGAGTCAACGGTGCCTAAACATGTGGCAAAAGCATCAAGTAATGATAGTAAGGAAGCAACAAGTTATCATGGTATTAATATCTCTCTCTTCCTTTCATGCCTTCCTTCAACCTATCTCTTTATCCTCCCTCTCTCTCCTTTACTCCTTCTCTCTCTTTCGAGTCCAATGTTATTATTGTCACCATTGCATGGCCAAGTGCCAACTAGTCTCAATGACCACAATCTCAACATTCTTAAACCCCATAGAGTTCAACATTCATCCAAGCTTTTCAAACTCTGAATAACTTTTAATGAATTAAAAGTCCTAATATCTCTTATAACTATGTGCATTATGTACACAGGAGTAACACCACTGTACATCTAATTACGTGCATTGTTCCACTTTGGTTGCAACATTTTAGGAAATAGACCATGTAGAAGTAAGTAGTTTGTCATGAAAGCTCAGTTCACCGAAGAGCAAGATTAGTGCCCACAAATTACGACTCCTACTAATGATTTTTTCACTTCAAGGGCGTAGGGGCTCAATTTTAAACATTGATAGTGACAAAATTGATTTACAATTAAGTTTAGAATGCTAATGACTTTTTGAGTAAAGTTAAGAGACAAAAATGACATTTAATTTTTAAATAAATATTAACAAAACATCACCAAATGTTGACATATTAATTTCAATTTTTTAAAACGACAATGATTGAGACAAAAAAAATAACAATATAAAACTAATAATGTAAGGATTAAAAAATTAAAAAGATATTTTATAAAATTAAAATATTAAATTGAAACTTTATAAATATTAATTTGGACACTGATATATATGAGTTTATATTTTCTACATAACAATAAAAAGTAATGTAGGTGACAACTAAGAAAGAGAGTAGGAGATTTTTTTTTTTTTTTCAAATGGATCAAATGCAAGCTCCTCCCCTGCATAATATATGCCTACCATCTCTTTAAAAGGAAATGTTACATATACACTCACCGCATTCACACACCTTTACCCCTTAATCACATGAAACTCACAATGTTCATTGTTTGAACTTTGAAAGATGGAATACGAGATTTTTAATGAGGAATAGAAGGAATTGATATAGGTAAAAAAATAAGGCCCCATCTGGTCATTAAAAAGTAATAAATGAAATGAATTAAAAAATTAATATAAAAATAAATTAAGTTATTATTTATCCAAAATAAGCACGAGAAAATTTATTAATATATATTATAAATGTAAGAATTATTATACTCTTCAAAAATCTCGTGAACTAAATTACCTCTTCTCCTTATGAATATATTCACCAATCCGTTTTGATCATTTTATTTTTATTTTTATTTTTTTAATTCATTTTATTCTTTTCTAGTAATGAAATGAGACCTAAGACTTTTGTTTTTTAATTAAAAATAAGATTTTTGTTTTAGTCATCACTGTTATAAATTGTCCCTTCAAGGACATCCCATAACTAAGTATAAATTTTGTATTACATATTTTTTACCTTAATTTATATTTTTATTATTACATAAAATTTAGGAGACGAGGTAATGTATTTTTATAATTTGTTTGTTGCCCGAGATACTCAGCGTTAACATTAATCTTCGGCTTGAACTCATATTAACCGGAGTAGTTAACTACAATTAACATTCTCATTTGAAGGCGGTAAAAAAGCGACGCCGTTCGTTTTGTATGAGGAAGTCCTTTCTTCGATCCATGTTCGTTGGAGGGCAAACGAATATAAACGAAATGAAAAACCTTTCCATATCCTTTGCACTTTTCTTTTCCTAAAACCCTAATTCTAAAATAGCAAATAGGATTCTCGATCATCTCATCTCGCATCTTAAGAACCCAGAATAATCATGGCCACGCTTCCCCTGTCAAGCCCCAACGAGCTGGTCTCTTCCTCGTCAATTGCCGCTTTAATTTACCCCAATGCATTCTCTTCCTCTTCGTTTGTTTCTTGCAAACCCAGAAGAAAAAGTGCCTTCGAGCGCCAGAGCCGTCGTTCTCTGTCCGTGAGCTGCTCCTTCGCACCTCTGGACAATGCCAGGATTAAGGTGGTCGGCATCGGCGGTGGTGGCAACAATGCTGTTAATCGCATGATTGGTAGTGGTTTACAAGTGGGTTTTTCGTTTTTTCCTCCCTTTGCATTTATGGGGTGGAATTTCAAATCTTCTCATTTGTTCTTACATATACCGACCGACGAAGTTCCTTTTTTAGATGCTCATTCAATTGGGTATCGTGCTTGTCGTTAGATTAATTATTGTTCAATGTGGTGCTCTCATACAATGTGAACGCAATGACTAACTTCTTGTTTGGGAAGAGGAAGTAGATGCGTATTTAAAGTTAAAGCCGGAGGGTTGTAGTTTTGCTTCTTAGGGAGACATCATTTTACTATGGTTGCAATTTGGGTTGATTTATTTGTACCAGTACTTGATATTAGATTAAGC